AGCGTCAGAAGTTTGCTGTTATCCCCCAACCTAGTAAGTACAGCTTTGATGATAATCAGTCTGTCCATGCTTCTTCCCATTTGCATCGGTGCATTACTTATCAGCAGTGTCAGCACATGGAGGAGGGAGCTGGAGAATGAAGTAAGAAAGAGGGGAAGGACATGGGGAGAGTTGCATGCGATAGCAAAAGATAGAATGACTCGGCGAGAGTTGGTTAAGGGCCTCTGCTCCATTGGGGGCTAGAAAGGTAGAAGAAGTGTCAGCATTGGCAGTAAAGAGATTAAAAATGTCACAGGTTTGGAATATTCAGGCTCAGTAATGAACAACAAGACGACGGCTTAAAAGATGTCAGAGAAAGACTTGCTTTAGCGATGCAGAAACATGAAGAACATATGGCAAGCAAGTTAAAGTAAACATTTTGGGATCATGCATCTTTCCCATGGTAGCTTATGAATGTGAGTCATGGACTCTTACTCATCCTTCAGAGAAGAAAATCAGAGCTTTTGAACTAAAATACTACAGAAAATATTCTTAGAATACCATGGACCAAGAAGATGAAAAACGTCTTCATCCTGCCTGACCTGAACATCAGGGAAAAACTGGCTTGTAAACAGCATTCTCTCCTGAAAGCTGAGGTATATCGGACATGTCTGGCGCCATGGTGTTATGAATAGAACGATGATGAAGTTTGCAGTTTCCTGCTAGCTGTACCCGGCCACACGTTGCTGTGGCATAGTTAAGCTAAATGGAAAATAAAGAAAATAGAAATTGCACGTGTCTAATATGGTTACTGTCGCAATCATTGTCTGCGCACATACAGAGATAGTCATCAATGCCCCTCCCCCTCCCAAATCCACCTACTACTCGCTCCCTCATCAAAGGCTTTTGGAAAAGAAAGACAAAAGAAATTGAATGTGTCTAATTTAGTTAATGTCGCAGTCATTCTCTGCACAGATAGAGATAGTCTGGTTTGCCACTTTAGAACACGCAACATATAATTGTGTCTTTATATTAGTGGTCGTTTAAATGGTATTATTAGCACAGTAAAAAAAAAAGGGTTATTTGGTTATCACATGCTAAAGCTGTTTGTATTTTTTTTTAAGAGACGGTAATAAAGCTTACTACTGTACTTGTGAGTCGTTGAAAAAAAATGAGAATAGCGGAGGTAGCGTTAGTAAAATATAAACAAATTAAGAAATGAAAACTTTAAAATCATGCGTTAAGCTCTTTAAGTTAACAATTTCTGTCATCACCCCCTCCACTCATCCATCCACCGAATACTGCTCTCTGCCTCATCAAAGGATTTAAAAATCATCACCCGACGATATTTTTTGTAACTGTCGTTGATACCCCTGTTTATCCGGACTAAAATAGGGAGCAGGAATTGTAATGAGTAGTAAATGCGGCTAGTGAAATATTTACCACACTATCCTTCAAGTACCAGTACAACTACTACCACCACCGCCACCACAATAACTAAAATAATGTCACTGCTATCTGTTTTACCGTCGGAGTAGACAGGGAGTCGTGAGCTAGAGGATTTGACGCCACAAGGCTAATGCTGTCGGCACTGACTGGTCAGGTTAGGATGTGTAATTTCGCTCCCCGACAGAAAAATGCCATCACCTTACTGGCGGTCTCTGGCATGACAGCACTAAGGTGTAACCGCCCAATCACAACTACTACTACTGTTACTTTGAGTGGGTAAGGCAGTTACTTTGACTTAAAGTTACCAGTTTACGCTACCCTCCCCTACTCCCCTTCCAATTCACCGACTACTCTTTCCTTCATCGAAGTAGTTTAGAGAGAAAAAAACAAGTGAAATACAACGAAAACAGGAAAAATACACCATAATTACGAAATGAACGCTATGATAAACAATACAGCTCAATTCCAACACAGTGTCAGAAGAAATAATTAAATCGAAATGAAAATGAATCGAAATCTATGAAAATTCAGCGTAACCATGCAATCGGAAAGTTTGAAATGAAATCATAAGTATGCGAAATGGTCAAATTTAATTATCAACTGGTTTACCCACACACCTGTATTTTTTTTTTTTTAAATAGTATTTATGGCCACATGGCTAGTGCTGTCACCACGACAAAGCAGGTCTGGGTTTTATTTTGCCCCTGGGTTTAAAAAAAATAAAAAAGAAACTGCTGTATTTGGAATTCGAACCCTAGTCTCCCGCACGGGAACCCAGTGTACTAACTATTCGGCCAGCCAACCTCTGCTTCTGAACAACGAAAAGAGAACAAAACTACGCAAGATGTGTGTCCCGATTCTAACACAACTCAAAACCGCAGGCAATTGTTTTCTCATTAACTGATATCCCAGATATAAACTTCAAGTATTATTGAAAAGGCACAATAATAGAAATCGTACGTGTCTAACACGGTAAATGTTGCAATAATTGTCTGTGCAGACATAGACTCCCCTCTCTTCCCCTTTCTCAAATCCACCGACTACTGAACATTTATAACCTATAGGTATAACCTATACCATTTAGTGTGTATGGTCTGTTGGGAACAATAAACATATATAACCTATAGGTATAACCTATACCAGTCAATGTGTATGGTCTGTTGGGAACAATGAACATTTATAACCTATAGGTATAACCTATACCATTCAATGTGTATGGTCTGTTGGGAACAATGAACATTTATAACCTATAGGTATAACCTATACCAATCAATGTGTATGGTCTGTTGGGAACAATGAACATTTATAACCTATAGGTAAAACCTATACCATTCAATGTGTATTGTTTGTTGGGAACAATGAACATTTATAACCTATACCATTCAATATGTATGATCTGTTGGGAACAATGAACATTTATAACCTATAGGTATAACCTATACCATTTAGTGTGTATGGTCTGTTAGGAACAATGAACATTTATAACCTATAGGTATAACCTATACCATTCAATGTGTATGATCTGTTGGGAACAATGAACATTTATAACCTATACCATTCAATGTGTATGATCTGTTGGGAACAATGAACATTTATAACCTATAGGTATAACCTATACCATTTAGTGTGTATGGTCTGTTAGGAACAATGAACATTTATAACCTATAGGTATAACCTATACCATTCAATGTGTATGGTCTGTTGGGAACAATGAACATTTATAACCTATGGGTATAACCTATACCATTCAATGTGTATGGTCTGTTGGGAACAATGAACATTTATAACCTATAGGTATAACCTATACCATTCAATGTGTATGGTCTTTTGGGAACAATGAACATTTATTACCTATAGGTATAACCTATATCATTCAATGTGTATGGTCTGTTAGAAACAATGAACATTTATAACCTATAGGTATAATCTATACCATTCAATGTGTATGGTCTGTTGGGAACAAAGAACATTTATAACTTATACCATTCAATGTGTAGGGTCTTTTGGGAACAAAGAACATTTATAACCTATAGGTTTTTTTTTTTTTTTTAACGTATCCAGAAACCATGAGTTGTAAACCCTTTAGCTCGGTACTATGGATATCGCAACCCTTCGGCATTGATTCCATTATAGGTACCGTTAATCTGGGAGAAATGTGGCTTTTCTGCCTACCCCCGGGAGTGAACCCGGACCACAAGGAGTTCGTCACCCGGCCGCCGCGAAAATCAGGTTTAACCAACTTCGCTAGAGAGCCGGGCCATAACCTATAGGTATAACCTATACCATTCAATGTGTATGGTCTGTTAGGAACAATGAACATTTATAACCTATAGGTATAACCTATACCATTCAATGTGTATGGTCTGTTAGAAACAATGAACATTTATAACCTATAGGTATAACCTATACCATTTAATGTGTATGGTCTGTTGGGAACAAAGAACATTTATAACTTATACCATTCAATGTGTATGGTCTGTTGGGAACAATGAACATTTATAACCCATGGGTATAACCCATACCATTTAGCGTGTATGGTCTGTTGGGAACAATGAACATTTATAACCTATGTGTATAACCTGTACTATTCAGTGTGTATGGTCTGTTGGGAACAATGAATATTTATAACCCATGGGTATAACTTGTACCATTGAATGTGAATGATTCATTGGCCACAGTGAACATTTATAACATTATCTGTGCTGTTATTTAGGAATCATCTATCAGGAACAGTGACAGTTCACATTAAAACCTATGCTGTTGAATATGTATTATCTCTTGGGCATATTGAACATTTACAACACAACCTATGCCATTCAATGTATATGGTCTGTTGGGAACAATGAACATTTATGACCTTTAGGTATAACCTAAACCATTGAATGTGAATGATTAAATGGACAGAGTGAACATTTACAACATGACCTGTGTGTACTGTTATTTGTGAATGATCTATTGGACACAGTAAATATTTACAACACAGCCATTAACATTGAATGTGTATGTTCTGTTGGGCACAGTAAACATTTACAGCACATGTAGCATTAGATTTGAATGTTCTGTTCCACCACAAAAAAAATTTACAACAAAACCTGTGTCTGTTGGACACAGTGAGCATTGAAACACAGCCCTTTTTTTTCTGAACCAGAAGCACTTGAGCGTAGATCGTTTGGCTCAGTATCGGGAGCATCAAAGCCCTTTAGCCTCAGTGCCATATACACCATTAATATTAGGATTACCTGGCTTTTCCCTGGCTCGAACCCTAGACTGGACACACATGAGGATTGTCACCTGACATCCAATGCGCTATAAATTACGCTAGAGCGCCAGGCGCAATACAACCTTTAACATTGAATGTATCTGTTCTGTTGGCAGCAATGAACATTTACAGTGTGATCTATGCTTTGAATGTGAGTGATCTATTGGAAACATTCACAAATGATCTATACTGTTTATTTTTCCTCCTCAGGAAATTTGTTTAACCTACTCTTGAAATCTCCAATGGCTGTCTGAGGATAGTTCTCCAAGAACTATTAATTGTTTGTAGCGAGGTGTAGCACTATCCCAGTATCATGAGTAGACATGCAAGCCAGTTTTACACAGTGGAGGTTGGTGATTCCTCTTTCACAATCCTTAAACGCTATCAGCATCTTCGACCGATCGGCTCTGGTGCTCAAGGAATTGTTTGGTGAGTAATTTTTGTTGTTGTTAAGTTAATGATATTTGTATTTTAATATTCGATTTTTCCTTGTGAGTTCCGGTGTCCCATTGTGATTAAAACAAGAATAGACCCACTACCTCCCCAACAAGCATGTCGTAAGAGTCAACTAATTGGGGGCTGAGGCAGTCACTGCTGCCTTTTACTGGCTTGAGAATCAGCTGTACACACATGGTGTGATTGTCACTGACTCACAGAGCATGTTGAGAAAGGTGGAGACAGGTATGCTCTGTGCAGAGTGGCAGGCATCACTTCAGAGGTCCCGAGTAGTTAGTATCCTTGGGATATTCTCTCCAGGTTATGCCCGTGTGTTGGCAAATGAGCAGACAGATAGACTGGCTGGTTCTACACTACTTGGTGGTGAATTGATATATGACAAGCTAGACGTTACGAGGGCCCTCTGGGAGCGAGTAAACAGTGTGGAAATAGAGATCATTACTGTCTGAGGAGAATGGCGCTTTGAGGAGTTACCAGGAGATCTGGCCGACGCTCATGAAAAGGGCGAGATGGATATACAATGAGACAGTTACTGGTGCCATATGAATTGGAACTCTTCATTTGCTGCTGAAGATGAAGACAGAGCTCTATTGGGGGTGTCCCGGGTACTATGATGTTGATTCATAATTCAACATTAATTGGGAGCTTCCTTCAAAGTCAGAGTGCATCTGCCTGCGAGGCAAGGAACCAGTAGTCTACATACAGATGAGCAAGATCTGTAAAACAGATGCACATGCAAAACTCAGGTCTTGGAACAAAGCCAAAGTCCAGAAATGGAGGGACCACCGGGTCGTTTCGTCGGGTTTACAGTCAGTGAATGCAAACAAACAACAACAACATTTGTTCTTATGAAAAGGTGACATAATTGTGTGTGTTTCCTTTGGAAACAAAAAAGTAAAGGGTCCTTTTACATACCTTTAGCTCATTTGTCATTTAGTGCTAGACCTTTATTTTTATAGACTTGTTGGTACTCAGTGGATGAGGTGGTCAGCATCACACTAGTTTGTTCCTTTAGTCTGTAAAATATTTATTGTATTTTTTTAGTTGAGCACATTTGGAATCTGCAGCATCTCTTAAATTGCTCTAATTAAATTTTCCATTGTTGTTATATCTAACTGCACAATTTATACTTACTGAAGGTGTTGTTCTGCTAGTGTAGGTTCCTTTGTTTCCATTTTGGGCCAAATAAAAGAATAGATCCACTGCCTGGTAACAAGTATGTAGTAAAAGGCTGTTAATTAAGGTTTGCTAAAACTGAAGGTGTTGCCAGTAAAAAAAAAAGAATAGACCCACTGCCTGGTAACAAGTACATATATGTAGTAAAAGGCTGTTAATTGAGGTTTGCTAAAACTGAAGGTGTTGCCAGTAAAAAAAAAGAATAGACCCACTGCCTGGTAAAAAGTACATATATGCATTACAATGCTGTTAATTAAGGTTTGCTAAAACTGGAGGTGTTGCCAGAAAAAAGAATAGACCCACTGGCTGCTAAACAAGTATTTTGTAAAATGCTGTTAATTAAGGTTTGCTAAAACTGGAGGTGTTGCCAGGAAAAAGAATAGACCCACTGGCTGGTAACATATATTTTGTAAAATGCTGTTAATTAAGGTTTACTAAGACTGGAGGTGTTGCCAGAAAAAAAAAGAATGGACGCAGCCTGGTGACAAGTATGAAGTAAAAGGCTGTTAATTAAGGTTTGCTGAAATTGGAGGTGTTTTGACGAAAGGACAGATTTTGCAGCTTAGCTGTAAACAACACTACCTTCCTTTTAAGAAATCTTTTACAGTATTTTGTTCTTCCCTCATGGCTACTTTCTCTTTGGCTATCTACCCATCTCTGTCGGTGCCTAACCCTTTCTTGCACTCTCTTGTGGAAATATGAATCTAGACTTGAGGGGAAGGGGTGGGTTTGGGGTGGGGGATAGAATGCTGGAATGAGAATGAGACGGAAAGCAGATCGTCTTGCCTCTGGATTTGTTTGTGTTGCCCATTGAAACTTGTAAAGCCCAGACTGCATACATCATTTATGTAGAAAGTCTGCTGTATAGTTTTACTGTTCCCGCTGTATGCTGATAGTTTTACAGGGAAGAATATTGGATTATGAATATTGGAGTACATATGGATGGGCATAGATAGTTGCCAAATGCTGATGACTTTGCAGTGGAGTAGATTGGAGCACCTTTAGATCAGCAAAGTTAGTTGCTGTACACTGATAAATTTACAACAGAAAAGGCTAGAGCGCCTTTGGGCGCATTAGGAATGCAGTGATGACAGTCTGAACTGTAAATACACCATGTTCTGATTTAAAACGTCTCGCATTCTGTATTCAGCGCGGCTTGTGACACACTGACAAACACAAATGTTGCCATTAAGAAGTTGAGTCGCCCTTTCCAGAATGTCACACATGCTAAAAGGGCTTACAGAGAGTTTGTGCTCATGAAACTTGTCAACCACAAAAATGTGAGTATACTATTATATTCTGGTGGTATCATTATTGTTCCTTCCACTTTCTTTCTGTTTCCTTTTAAAAAAATAAAATCACTGATGGTGAGCTTTGGGAGAGAACTAAACAAATTCCATGTGGCGAGGAAAAGACACTGGTGTTGGAGAGGACACACATTGAGAAAACTTGAGAACTGTATAACTGAAAGGGCTTTGAACTGGAACCCACAAGGGCACAGAAAAAAGGTAGACCTAGAAACACACAGATAGAGAAAGGAACTAGAGATGGAAGTTAAAAAAGGTAGGGAAGATGTGGGGTGATCTGCATACGGTAGCAAAGATAGAGTGACTTGGAGTGAGTTTGTTTTGTCCAGTCATCCAATCACCGCCTCCGGTCCGTGAGCACCTCGTGTATCCTGGAGTCTTTATTCATCTGTCACATACTCCTTTCCTTGTAGGAGTCTCCGTGGGCTGTTGAACCTGTAGTCACTAAGGGGTCATCTAAGTGCAAGTCCATCTGTCACTATCATCACCTACAGTCATTTGACTTACACACAGGCCACTGACACATATATTGCTATGAACATAATGTATAGATAAAATAACAGTTCTGTTTGAAAGATTGATAGGTGAGTGTTTTGAAGTGACGATAAAACAGGCTTGGACCTGCCTGCCCAGTTTGTGAGCCTTTGAAAATGCAGTTGGTTGATTCTCACAGTCTCCCCCCCCCCTCCCCCAACCCTCCCCCATTCTCTCTCTCTCTCTCTTTCTCACACATAAACACACACACACACACACACACACAATGTACTCATCACTCTTCGTGTTTGTCTATATATATATATTTCCCTTTCTACTTGATTTTATCAGTTTTACATGAATGACAGCCTTGTTGATTTTCCCTTATTTCCACCACTTTATTCTGCCCCCCCTTCTCTCTCTCTCTCTTTCTCTCTCTCGCTCTATCTCTCTCTCTCTCTCTCTCTCTCTCTCTCGTACAATGTACTCATTGCCCTTGATTGTCTTCTATGTACATTTTATTTTCTACCTGAGGTATCAGTTTTACATGAATGGCAACATGGTTGATCTTCTCTGACCCGTCTGTTCTCCTGCCACCGTCAGCACTCCGGTATTCTCAGTGTTTCTCGGTAATTAGTTACATTTCTCAGCTATTAGCGGGTTAGCTTTCTAGCTGTGGGCGGGGCCTGCTGCATCAATATATTGGTAATTTTACTGTTTTCTGTGCATTGAGCATGTAAAATAGATGGCTGTTAAAAACACTGTGGCAGATGCAATGCTCAGTGTATTGATTTGTTTCGTGTGCTGAGGTAAAGAAGCATATTGATGTTGGAGGCTGCTTCACGTTGCTGGCATTCTGAATGCTGTGTTTGTAGCTGGTAACACTTTACTGTTAACTAAAGGCTGGTGAATGGTTGCTGGTAAAGGGCAATGCTTAAATATTGTGAGTTATTGAGCAGGAGGAAAAGAAGAGAAGATGCATGAAGTGTTTGGATATAATTAGCCAGGTGAAATTAAAATTTTTTTCTTTTTTCAATTATTTTATTTTGTCTTCAGTCAACCTGGCTTATAGTACACTGGCTAAGTAACATATAAGGGGACAAAGTAACACAACTGCAAATTACTAACTTTGCCTCAATATGGGATGCAATTTATTTGTTATTTTAAAGCCCCACCCCGGGTGACATCGGAGGCCCAATCTAACGGTTGAATGGAGTTTCTGAGATGTGCCAGGGTTATTCTTATCCGAATGGTCGCACTTTATGTCAGGTATTTATTGCTCGTGTGGTCTTGGTGGGGTTGAAAGTCACTCACTCAAAATTGAAAATAAATTATGGGTTGATTTGTGAGCTCTTGAAAAGATTATGCAACCTTTTCTTGTTTGTTTCTGACTTATTTACTAAGAGGACATGTTTTTAGACAATACTACAAACGTTAATCATATAAGTTGAGGAAAACAAAATGTCAGGTGGCTTTAGTGAAGTTCAGATTTTTTTTTTGTTTTTTTTTTTGGTTACGCCTTGTCCTTCTCTTTCTTCTTCTTTTTATTCACCTTGACACATCCCGCCAAGATTGGACAACATGTTAGGTTACTTCATAGCTGTAGGGTGCTTCCGTTTTATGCAGTTAAATAGAGTTTTTGGTAACTCTTTAAGTCACTGAGTGTCAGTCCACAGATTGCAGTCCCCGAGGGGATTTTAAGTAAAAAATTATTATCATTCTTCTCTTTCTCCTTCCTCTTTTTCTCCTCCTTTTTTGTTTTCTTTTCTTCTGCTGCTGCTACTGCTGTCTTTTATCTCCCAGTGTGAAATAAATCCTTATACTCAACTATATACACTGTAGTTCTGCACTGTCTTCTCAGGTACTGTCTTGCTCTCATGTATATGTGTTTGTGAAAGTGTGTATGTGCATATAGGTGCACACTTGTATGTATATAAATATATATATATGTGTGTGTACATGTATGGGTATATATGTACATGTGTGTGTGTGTGAAGCTCGCTAAATCCATTCTATGGCAACATTGGTCCTAAAATTCCATGCTCTAGCTGTGGAAGACTTTTCTTAACATGAGCTGATCTCGCTAGGCTTGCGTGTCATCGTCATGGGCTGTGATTCCCATGTTACTGGTAATCTGGTAATCTTAGTTTCAGCTTCATAGCAAATGGGTCGCCCCATAGTTGCTCCGCTCCTGTGCCAACGAAAAACACATAAAATGTTTATCATGTTACGTTATTACAATCAACGTCAGTGCACACTGGGCATTTCCATGCATGCTCAGTCCTCCGATGCAGCAGCCACTCCAAGGTACTTCTACTAATTGATCCCATGAGAACTTGGTTATAATGTCTCCTGTCTTGGCCTCGAAAGCGTGCTTCACCATGTCACGCAGTTGTCTTAGTGTCAGAGATTTCGTCGTTATCATTATCCACTAGCCTAGTATGTACAGTGTTGACGATATCTGCTCTCTCCATGCTTCTTTCCACATGCGTTCCTGCATTGCTTCCCAGTTGGTCCGCTTGCTCATTACCCTTTACGCCCACATGACCAGGTGTGTAGATTCATGTGAGGGAGGTTAAGTGCAATTTTCAAAAGCTTTCTTCTCATTTAGAGCGCATACAGCCTGTTGCTGTCTTCTGAAGCATGTTCAAGGAGTCTGATACAATTACTACCTGTGTATCTGTCTGTTCTGATGCCAATACTAGTGCCCTTGAAGCAGCAGCTGTCTCAACAGCTTTTTGTAATTCTAATGCCTTCATATAGCACTGTGTAAAACTGTCATCTGGAAAAGTGCTAACAACACACACACACAATACACACACACACACACTCTCTCTCTCTCCCTCCCTCCCTCCCCCCTCTCTCTCTCTCTTTCTCTCTCTCTCTCCCTCTCTCTCTCCATCCCATTCTGTCCCCTCAATTAATACCAGACGCTCAGTTATATATACTACAGTCCTATCGCTGTCCTCTCAGCTACTTTTTTTGTTTTAAACTTTGTTACAAATTGTCTGTACTGTAGTCCTACATTGTTATCTCAACTACCATCTTACATTCAACTACACAGACAGACAGACACACATACATACATGCATACACACGCACACACATATGACCACAGACATGCACGCTCCTGCACACACTCTGTCTCCAGTCCCATGCTGCTTTTCTTATATACTGCTGAGCATTCAGCTGTATGTATATGTACTACAGTCCTGTATCATCTTCTAACCTACCTGCATGCATTCATGCATTCAACAATATACACTAAAGTCCTGCATGTGGTTAAACCATGTGTGCACCGGAGTTATAAGCCCTTTGACAAGTGTCAGACACAGATGGTACCTCCATACCACAGCTGCTCCTATGAACATCTGTTTGTGTAATTAACCCTGAGCCATTTTCCTATTATAATAGTCATCATAATTACTGTCGTCGTCATCATCATCATCATCATCAAGTACTCTCTCATTATTGAAAGTCACCCATTATGAGTCTCCAACACCCTGAGTCCTGTGTCGTCCTGGTACATTAAATCCATATCACCAGCTTCCCGTCTAAGGAGAATCCTGCGAATCTTTTGCCTAAACAAGATCACAGATGAAGAACTGAGGGGGAAAACAAATAGTTCATCACTGGCACTTGTTATCAAAGGAAGAATAGGGAAGTCGCTTGAACAAATTTGTGGCGATATGCGGATATAAGAGGGGTCTATAGTAAAAAGATTTCCCTACCCATGACAGCGTCCACAGTCTCAATAAATTTTGGCTCGTTAAATGTTATGAAACTAGGGGGATGGCCCCATGTATAAGAGACTGTGACGTGGTCATGTGACAGGAGTCAAAAAGGTAAAACTAGCTCTGGATGTAGATAGCTCAGGCTAGACTAGTTATTCTGTCACACACACCCCTATCAATAGATACTTGAGCCCCCAGAAAGATAAGTAATGAAAGGATGAGAAAGGTATCTTTCAAACTGTTTCTTTCCAAGCCCACCCTCACCACAGTAAACGAGACTAGACGAGGTGGGTAAACAGTTTGATATCATACACTGTAATACGTTCTATGGTAACATGTGATTGGCAAAATAATAAAGTATTCTTCCTCGGTGAGAAGTTAGTTGGCGTAAGCAGATTCAGGCTCGTGGGGCAACCCAGTCACCTGATCTGTCTGGTAGATGACAGTCTTCGGTGATCCAGTCTGCCGTCTGGTTGCTCCTCACGAATTGGAAATATATATTCAAGGTTTGGGTGCAAGAACATTGGATATAGGCCAAGGCTTTTAAAATTCCACTTATTGTGATTAAAAACTGTTTATAGATTATAAAGTCTCTCTGGACTTGCTATAAAACTCAACTTGCCATCCAGTGGCTTACACTACACAATAGCAGATCTTTCTTTCCACTTTGTTGTGGATATGATGTGGCACAGCCGGGCTGGAACGAGACAAGAGCAAAACAACCACTTGTGTGCCCCTAAAATGCCTGACTACTATACATAATAATTAACTAACTTCCATCACCTCAGATTCTGACAGCTTTATTCATTTAAGTTGTCACATCGCCTCATATGTGAATTTATCATTTTATATTTTATTTTCACTAACCATGTGACTGGGCTAAGAAATCCCTGCCCTGGTTATGACATTCACGACAATTCATTTATAATTTACTTCCATCCCACCCATGTGGTCCAATCCATTTATATCTTACACCCCATCCTGTCCCCTGTCTTTCACTGCAGCACATCTAATAACTCATTTACAACCAAGCAACACTGTATGTTTTTTAATTTCTTATATCGTAGGCTCTTTCCTTATGGGTTCTGGGTCTCGGTTATTGGAGGGGGCACAATGGAGTGATTTCAAGAAAAGTGAACAAATAAGAGAAATGTCTGGACACTCCCTGGTATCAACAGTTTTATAAGACAAAGAAGGCAACACATTGAGGAGGGTGAACTGAAAAAATCACCAAACAGGCACTTAAATGGGAAACTTATGAACTCAGGAGGTAAGGACATATGAACATTCTTGAGAGGCCAAATGTACTGCTGGACTTATTCCATCAGTATTGATAAAACAATTGCACACGATAGAGCATAATGAAGAAACAGACTGCGAGCCCTATTTGATGTTGTGTGCCACATATGATGATGACATATATTCAGTGACTATTTTTTGTTATCTTTTTCCTTTAGATTATAGGTTTACTGAACGCTTTCACACCACAGAAATCTTTAGAGGACTTTCAGGATGTGTGAGTATTTTTGCTTCTGACAAAAGTTGCCCGTTACATTTTCCTCCATATGTAGACTAAAAAGGATGTAGTTTTGTCATCTAGCTACTGAGTTGAGTGCATGACACGACACTCTGAGCTGTAGATTTCACTTAGAATGCTTTTCGGCTGTGCCCAGTGGGGTTTGTGTTGTGAACTTAAGATTTAGAAAATGGCGAGTGGCCTGTTGCCACAGAACTGGTGGTGCCCTATGTGATTTCTTGTGTGTGCAGCTATAGATCTGTTGTTAACTGCTTCTTATTTGATGATGAACTGCATTTCTAATGTCAGAATGATTGTGCTTGCACTTCTAGCAGTTGCCGTATACATTTAATATGTGTGTATCCTATTATTCATTAACTCTTGCCTGCTTAGAATAGAGGGAATTAAATGGTATGATAGAATAACTAATGTAGAGCTTTGGGAGAGAACTAAACAGGCTCCAGTGGACCAAGAGGTGAGGAAAAGACGCTGGCGTTGGATAGGAAACAGGAGAACAGCATAACTAGAATCTCTTTGCATTGGAACCCACAGGGGCATAGGAATAAAGGAAGGCCAAAAAACACATGGAGAAGAGAGCTGAAGAATGAAGTTAGAAAAATGGCTAGGACATGGGGAGAGCTCCATGTAATGGCGAAGGATAGAACGACTTGGCGTGAGCTGGTTGAGGGCCTATGCTCCATTGGGGGATAGAAAGGCAGAAGAAGAAGAATCCTATTAGATTTGAGGAGACTGCAGTCATTGTCAATTTTTCCACAAGAAACAGTAAAGGACATTCTGTGTGGGTTTTTTTTTAAGCACAGGACCAGAGCAACTACGGGGTGACCCTTTTAATATGGTTGGAACTGCGATTACCTGATTATCACATATGGTTTGGTCTGTCTTCCCACAGTGGGTAGCCACTTGGGCAGTAGAGTTGCACAAAGCACACACTCCATAGATCTGGTGACAATCCTCAGGGATCCCTATATAATTTTGACCCATGAATCAAATGGCTTAACCACTCAGCCGTCAAAGTCTCTTATTGAAATTAAAGTAGTAGTATAATTAAAGCGGCTGCACTATGACTTCAAAGGAAATATCTCTAATAATTTTGTTTCTTACAACATGCTTGTTATGGAGGGCAGTGAGTCTATTCTCCACCATCTCCGCCCCTAAATGAGGCCCCTCCGGAACAGAATCAAACAGAAATGAATTGTTGGTCATCATTCGGTCCACAGCCTTCTATCACATGTACTGCCCACAGTTGTTGATGCATGGGCCACTTCATGCCATGATGCCAGACTGAACCTGTCCGTCTTGGTCTCCCCTGTCCCTCTTTTTTTTTGTTGTTGATCTTTTTGTTGTCGTGGCATAACCCAGTTTTTCTTTTCTAATTATATGCGCCCCCTCCCCCCCCTTTTCCCAAATGTGAATTGGGTATTGAGCTCTCTAAATAGGTTATTTTATGTCATAATATCTCCATTGTGCTTTCTTTTGGTTTATGGCATCCTGATTGTTTTGTAAATCACAACCCAGCAGCTTCTACTAAATATTTCTTTTTTTTTAAAAGAGGGAGTGCCTTTGCACACCTGCTGTGTATCGGACAAAAAGTGCTCGACCTATATTTTTTATAGACCATTTAGCATTTAATGGGTGAGTAAGTCAACATCACACAGCCGCCTTTACTTCCCATGACATTATCTAGTGCCCATTTTAGGCTAGGTCAACCTGGCAGCCTTGGTCAGTTTTTGTAAAAATTCACCACAATGCATATTTCAACCCTAGGCCTTCAGGTCAGCAGGTGTTTATCTAAATACTACACCGCTACACCTTGTTAAACATTATTTGACCGTTCGTAATTTCTTTCCTTAGCAGGATTGACTGTATGTGACTTTTAATGATTCTCTTTCTCACTTTAAGCAGAGGAATCATTTATTGTTAAAAACAAAATTAATTCATCCGTAGTAGCAGCCCAGTGACCCATTGGTGGTTATTGTTGGCCAAACTAGCAGTGACTGCCTTTATTTTACCACTTTTGCTGTGTAGGCAGGGGGATCTTTGAGCCTGAGGATTTATGGCCGCATGGCTAGTGCTTTCGCCACGACTTTACAGGTGAGGATTGTATTTTGCCCCTGACGGAAATAATCCCCAGCCTTACCAAGGATTTGAACCTGGGTCTCCTGCTTAAGAGCCCAGTGTTCTAACCATTCAGCCAGCCACTCCTTGGTGGTTGTTGGCACCTTTCCATATTTCCAGATGATAATCTTCCATTGTTTTGGTGGGACACATGGGAATCTCAGCCCATGATGATACCAAACAAGGTCAGGGACGAAGCTCCTCCTTTCCATAGAGCAAAGATTAGGCATCATTGTGAAAACCATGTGTCACTCAGCCTGCTTTGTTAACTTCAAAGGCAAGGTAACACTAAAAACTGGAACAAAGCATGCAGCAGAAGTTGCCAGATGAGAAGAGCAGTGTTCTCTGATGGTGGTTTAAGATAATGCCTCTAAGGTAAAAATCATTTAGATGACCTGACTTACAGATGGTGTTAGAGTGTAGACCACTTGAGGCAGTCTAAGATGTAAAAAAAAAATAAAGGACCCTTTTCCACGCCTTTAGGCGTATAGGGCATATAGGGCTAGACCTATATTTTTATAGACTAATCGGCACAAGATGGGTGATGTGGTCAGCATCACGCTGGCCGCCTTTACTTCCCTGGCTGGGTCGACCTGGGAGCCAAGGTCATTTTTGAAAAATAGTCCGGCTCCGCCAGGGGTGAACCCACGACCTTCCGATCCACGGCAAGCGTCTAGTCGCTCAGCCACGGCGACTCCCAATCTAATATGTGGTGAATTTCTATTGTGAAAAACCATTCGTTTATCCCAGACAATTTTTCATATTTGAATTTTTATCTGGATAAGAGGAATTTCTAATAAGAAGAACCATTTATGGGGTCTCCAGCAAGTTATCCTTATCAGGTCTGCACCCTATAAGATTAGAAAAAAGTGTTCTTTATGTTAGTTGAGTGATACTACTCTAATAAGGGAGGTTTGTAACCTTTGGCTTGTCTTTGTGTTGAACAGATACCTGGTAATGGAGTTGATGGATGCCAATCTTTGTCAAGTGATACAGATGGACCTGGATCATGAACGCATGTCATACCTCCTCTACCAGATGCTCTGCGGCATTAAACATTTACACTCTGCCGGTATTATACACAGGGTGAGTTTATTAGTGATTTTCTTTTTAATATACTGTGGAACTGCTGGCTTGAGAATCAGCTGTACACACATGCTGAGAAAGGTGGAGACAGGCATGCTCCATGCAGAGTGGCAAGCATCACTTCAGAAATCCCTGGTAGTAAGCATCCTTTGGATATTTTCTCCAGGTCATGTCGGTGTATTGTTGGAAAATGAGCAGGCGTATAGACTGGCCAGTTCTGCACCACTTGGTGGTGAACTGATGCATAACAAGCTGGATGTTGTGAGGGCCCTTTAGGAGCGAGGGAACAATGCCGAGGCACAGATAGATCATTACGGTCTGAAGAGAATGACGCTGTGAGAAGTTACAGGGGGATCTGGTCGAGGCTCAGGAGAAAGGCGAGACGGATATACAATCGGACAATTACTGGTACCATCGGAATTAAAACTGTTCACTTGCTGCTGAAGATGGGGACAGAGCGCTTATGGGGGTATCCCGAGTACTATACATTTTACATGTATACATACAGATACGAGTTGAATCTGTTCCAAGACTGAGCTCATATGATGAATAACTGGTGTTCTAAAACTATTTCCCCTTTCAAAATTAATGTAAATAATTTTAATGTGTTCCAGCAATCCAAAAACAAAAATAGGATATTTTTTGTTTCATTAATGATGAAATGTGTGGCACTGCTTTTTCATTTTTGCGGGCTGTGGAAAACCGGGTTCCTCTTGACCATGATGCTACAGTTCATCATCATCAAATCCATTGTCGAATGACTCGAGTCCTCCATCCATTTTAAAGTTATCAAGTTGCTTTTTTATGATGCTGAGAGTTCTTATCTCTCCAGCTAGCATTTTGGATTTTATCTCATATTCTGGTGGGGGTGGGGGGGGGGGGGGGGTTGTGAGGCATGGTGTCCGCTAGAGGTCTTGGGTTCAAGCCCCGGTAAAGGCTGAAATTTTTTCCAGTGGATTTCTTGTAATTTATCTGGTCTCTGGGTAGTAAGACCCGATGCCCGTGTGTATTGTTACGCACATTAAAAAATCCCTTGGCAGTTAGAAATCAAAAAGAGCAGCCTAACGGCGCTGCGCAGGCAGAATTTGGAGTTAAAAATTTACCCAAAGTATTTCAGGATCCTCACAGAGTTTGTGCACTGTGCTGAGCTTCTTCAGACTCATGTTTGAGTTAGAAGAAAAACAGAGCACTTATGGGTTACACCCCTGTGCCATGATGTTGATCCATTGAATAAACAATACAGAATTCTGAGGAAAAAAAGTGGAGAGCCTGACCTCGTAGCCTGTACAACTCGTGACCAGGTACATTTGTACACAGAAGTTGCACTTACTGGTATTTTGTGTGACTCTATGGCAGTGGATCTCAACCTTCTTAATGCCACAACCCTTTAATACAGTTCTCTCATGTTTTATTATTTTCCTTTATAACTTCAATGATTATGTGTTTATGGATGGTCTTAGGCCACCCCTGTAAAAGTGTCGTTTGACCCAAAAAAAGGTTCACGATCCGCAGGTTGAAAACTGCTGCTCTATGGCAAAGCCTTTAGTGAAATGTTGCCACTTCCCAGTTCTAAATGCCCCAGGGCTTCTTCTTATTCTTTGCGTTCACCAGCTGTAAACTCTGGCGGAAAGTTCTGGTTGTTCATCCACTTCTGAACTGTAGTCCCATTCCAGAACCTTGTGGTATGAGAGCTGCACCATGTAATTAAATGTGTATTACTTTCAAGGGCACTCCACCCTTTTATTATTTGTATAATATTGTAGATGAATTTTGTAAAGAGAATTATTTAATCTGTTGTGTTAATTAAAATATATGATACAATAATTTTTTGTCTTTTTAATGCAGTAATTTTGAGATGTGTTTTAAATAAAAACCCATTTTACAAAAAAGTGTTTTAAATATATGATTTGGAAAATATAGTATGTGTATGTTTACAGTTTTATATTTGTGTATTGCCAATTGTTGAGTCATACATCTTGTGATCATTGTCACAATGCAGGATTTGAAACCAAGCAATATTGTGGTCAGATCTGATTGCACCCTGAAGATTCTGGACTTTGGTCTGGCCAGAACGGCAGGGACTGGGTTCATGATGACACCTTACGTGGTCACAAGGTACTATAGGGCTCCAGAAGTCATCCTAGGCATGGGATATATGGCAAATGGTAAGTTTTGAGAAATTGTCTTATGTGATAGCGGATGTCATCTTCTTCTCCAGGTTATTTCATTGCTAATGTTGTATCTTCTTCTTCTCACCCTCCTGTTTTTCTTCCTCCTTCTTTTTCCTCCTCTTCCTCTTCTTCTTCCTTCTTGGCATCTACTTCTTCCTCTTCCTTAGCATCTACTTCTTCTCCTCCTCCTTTATCCTCCTTCTTCTTCCTCATCCTTCTTCTTCTTCCTCCTCCTTCCTTCTTCTTCTTCCTCCTCCTTTCATTTTCTTCTACCTCCTCATCCTCTTATTTGTCTTCTTCTTCCTCCTCCCTTCTTCTTCTTCCTACCTTTTTTTTTCTTCTTCCAACCTTGTTTTCTTCTTCCTCCTTTTCTTCTTTTTCTTCTCCTCCCCCATCTTCCTATCAATAATATGGTTTTGGAAAATCAGTTTGTCTCCCCCCTCCCCCCCCACCCCCCGGGATGCTAACTGAAGCTTAACCACCCTGAGATTTAAAAAAAAATCTCAAACTGATTTGTAGGTTACAGGTACCCAGTTCAACCTCCAGAGAAGCTATAATTAAGGCACCCCTAGTTGCTACACCAGATATGTGCATTAAAAACATTGGTGGGGAATATGGTGTCAGAGCCAGGTGTTTATTGGCTAACTGGGAAAAAAAAAGATGATTCTGTGTGGAATGAGACTGACAGAGTGTTACATTTACTTTACTGTCTTTGATAAAACTGGCACTTGAAATGTGGAGAGTGGCACAGATATGCTGCCAAGAAATTCCCTAAATTATGACAAGTTCTCAACTTAGCACAGCACTGACAATACAGACCAGTCATCTAGTGTGATCAAAATATCACAGCAACAGTAACGCTGTGTCTAGAATACAACAAACGTTTAAGAAAGAGATTTAATTGGTCGGTTTCATTTTGTTACACGTAATTCAATAAATAAACAGGAAGTAAACTGGGAGTGGGGCTGGGGTTGTCCTGTCAAGAGAACAGGTTTCCAGGGGCACCGGTAAGCCCAAACCTGGACTTTGTGATTACTCTGTAGTTCTAATGAGAAATAATCTCACTGGGTGCAGTCAGTTCAGCTTATAAATAGACTTGCATTGGAACTGTTGTTGTATGTATCATTGATGTTTCTTTAAATCAAGGCACACAGACAGCACTTCTCTTCTGATCCGGCAGCTTCTACAGCATCATTTGCTGTGTCTATAGGTTGTCATGTTTCACCATCTCACACGATCACCAGAATCATGGATCACTTCAGTGTTTTTGTCAAGGCCAGGCCATCCAAGAATTGATCTCTTTGCCTTCCTCTTGCTCTGTTTCGATCAATCTTTCCAGTTTTTACCAAGTTTTCAAATCCATTCCTTCTCACATGTCTCAGAAGTATTAACTGTCTTTGTATAATTGTTCTATTAGGTTTATGACTCTCTTCTGTCTCATTGAGGATTGCTCTGTTTGTTTTTCTATCCTACCATGATATTCTTGCATTCTTTTCCATCATGTTGCATCGGTCTTACCTTTCTGTTGGCATAAACAAGGTGCGAACAACACATGGTCTCCACAGTACCTCCAAGGCTTTGTGCCATGAGAGGAGGAGCTTCACCTTTTCACTATGGGCTGGAATTCCCTTGCTTCACTGTAGTAAAGTGTAACAGTATGGCCTGGAAAGGCAGAAGTTGATTGAAATCATAAACATCTCGACTCTCCTAGAAGCGGTTCAGCTGTTTGTTGTCTTCTGCATCACACTGCATCATTACCCTGGAGATGGGAACTTAGCTCATAGGCATGAATGTATGAGTATCTTAGTCTTACTAGAGTGGGTAGATTCATATTAATGTTAAATTAAAAAAACTCCAGTGAATCAAGAGGTGAGGAAAAGGTGCCAATGCTGAATAAGACACAGTTATAAAATCTAAAAGTAGTGTAACTATAAATCCTTTTATCTGAAACCCACAGGGCAGACAAAATTAAGGAAGGCTTAAAAACACTCTGAAGAGAAAATTAGACACAGATAAATCATATGTGAACATGGAAGGCGCTACAGGAAATGCCAAAAGAAAACCTGGCATGAGTTGGTTGGTGCCTGTTCTCTATTGGGAAGTAAAAGTCAGACGAAGGAGATTGCTGTAATGTTGTTTCATTGATTTTATTTTCAGTTGACATCTGGTCTGTGGGTTGTATAATGGCAGAACTAATACGAGCAACTGTGATGTTCCCCGGCTCTGATCGTATCTTTACAAATGTATTTTATGTTTAATGAGTGTGATTAAACTGTTTTACAGCTTGTGCTGACTGTAGCCCCTCCTCAGACACACGGTTGAGACTTTTAATGTGAGGAAGAATGACATCAACAAGTCACAGATGTTTTGTTAAAGAAAACATTCTGTTGTGCCAGTGCACTGAAATAATTGGGAAGCCGAGGTGGTGTAGGGGCTTGATGCCCGGCCTGCCGACACAGAGGTCTTGGATTTGAATCTGTATCAGGTCAGATTTCTTCACAAATGACCCTGGCTTCCAGGTCGACCGAGGTCAATAAATGGGAAGTAAAGGCGGCTGTCATTACGTTGATCTCAAGCCACGTTTGGAGCTGATTGGTCCATAAAAAAATGAGTCTAGCATCATATGCCCCATACACCATGCCTGATGCACCACTTATCTAAAAAGAGTGTGAACTGTGTAACACTAACTTATCATGCTTGCTGTAAGAGGCAGTTAAGGAAGGTTGGTTTGAGTCTAGCTACCTCATACCCTAGACGACTGCAGCTACAGAATCCAATATCCCTGCATGGATTCCTGCGCACCATTGTGAAGGGGGAGGGAGGGCGGATATAACCAGCTGAGCCCCTAATAAGTATGTCATAAGAGGCAACTATTTATGGGGTTTTCTTTGAAGTTAGAGTGCAACTGCCTGAGAGGGGATGAACCAGCAGTCTGCATACAAATAAGCCAGATCTGTAAAATGGATGTGCATGCAAAACTCAAGTTGTAGAAGAAGACCAAAGTCCAGAAGTGGACGACAATGCTAAGAAGATCAGAATAAAACAAACCATGAATGAATCTACGAAAGGCTTGATGAGTTGACTGAGAATATAAGCTATATTGGGAGATAATTGAAGGTGTAAGAAAAAGAGTGACTTTAGAAAGAATGATGATTCAGTTATAAGACCAAAAAGATGGCAATAAATTAAGCACACCTTGAGAAGCCAACAGAGAATCACCAGGCAGGCACTTGAATTGGAAACAGGTGAGAATGCCCAAAAGAAACCTGAGAGTCCAAAGGTGCTGAAACAATTGCACAGGACAAAACAGAGTGGAAGAATCAACTGCGACCCCTTACACTGGCACAGCAGGATGATGATAATAGACGTAACAACATTTTGTATGTAGGTTAAAAACAGCCGCATACTGCGTATAAACTAGACATAGTAACAACATTTTGTATATAAGCTAAAAACAGCAACTTTCTGTACATAAGCTAGATGTAGTAGCATTTTGTGAATAAGCAGTATATAGAAATATGTTTATCTAAGGCGTAGGCTAAATACAGTAATGGTACTGTATGTAAGCTAAAAACAGCCACATATAGTTAGTAAGCTAGCTGCTGTAACATTTAGTATATTAGCGAGATAGAGCGATATATTGCTTATAGGTTTTGTGTGTAAACGTATATAATTACCATGCAAGAACATATTTTTTACAGCCAGATGTAGCAACCGTTAGTATTTCAATTGCACGAACAACATATTCTGTATGTTTGAAACACTTTGACACATATATTTTTCGACGTTGAATCATTTAAAACCTTAACCTTGAGTTCAGACATTGATCAGTGGAATAAAATAATTGAACAGTTAGGTACTCCATGCCAGGAATTCATGGCCCGTCTGCAGCCGACAGTGAGAAATTATGTAGAAAATAGGCCGAAACACGCTGGACATAGCTTTGAGAAGATATTCCCAGATGTTCTGTTTCCTCCTGACAGTGCAGGTAAGTGGAGTGGCAGCCACGATTTGCCCTTTTGGTTGTTTCTTTTTCTTCTTTTTCGAACACCTTTGGTTGTTAAGGTAAATAAAGTAAAGACCTTTTTCTATACCCTCAGGTGTATTGGCATATACTGCTACAACTATATTTATAGACCAATCAGCACTCGGTGGGTGGTGGGGTCAACATCACGATGTCACCTTTACTTCTCAGTACTTAACCTTGTACTCATTTAAGGCTAGGTCGATCTGTGAGGACGTTTTTGAAAAAAAAATCTGGCTTCATTTGGATTTAAACCCATGACCTTATGATTAGCTTGCTACATCATATTGGCCCCCTACCTTCAGATATTGACATGAATAAATGTAAAGAAAGCAGTAAGATATTTCTCCATCTTGGTGGGGTAGAAGGACTTCTGAATTCCAGTGGCATCAAGAGCTAAACGAACTGTAGCTTTGCTACTGGTAGGACCTCCCATGTTAAGTCGTGGAAAGAAACAAACGCTGCAGAAAGACTGGGAGCAGTTATAGGTTAGGAAAAGCCAACAGAAGATATATTTACAAAATTCTAAAGAAAGGTTTAGCAGTCTATCTTTTACAGGACACTGCATTTATTGGCAGCTTGTGGTTCCAGACAATATTTACATTAAGCAGTTTGCCATTGCTTTCTGAGCAGTCAGCTCTCCAAACCATTATCAAAATCAATGCAAATAGGCTTGCTACTAAATTGCCTGCATCTGATTTAATTCTTGTGTTTCAGAATTACAAACCAGGTTTGCAAACCGCCACCCCTAAGTAACAGACCTGAAATAAATACTTGTCTTGTCCTTACCCACATTGGACGGCTGTTATGGGTGCCCTAATTAGACCTTCTCTAAAGGTTGAACAGGATATCTAGGATCTGCCTTGTTGACCCAGATTGAGATTCTTTATCTCAGGATGGTATGGTAGCAGCCCAGAAGGGACAAACTGATCCATCAGTCGATACTTATCAAAATTATACTGAGGCCACAGGCTTGATAGAAAGTGCAGTATAACTTGTTTCATGGTGGTTTTGGTTGTTCCACATGCGGTAAGATCACTTGACTGCCATAAAAACCAAAAAAATGCCACTACTGTCTGTATTTACCAGTTTTCATGGTGTAGGAAAGGGGAGGGGGGTCTTTGAGCCTGAGGATTTAGGGCCGCATGGCTGGTGCTGTTGCCACAGACTGTTCAGGTTAGGATTTTATTTTTGTTGGCTTAGATAAACTGGAAACAACTTCTCAGTTCAGACTGTATCTGAACTCTTTTACTCACACGGTTCTCGCATTCATCTCGTGCTTCTTCATCACTGGAGTTGGGAGCTGGGGGTCTATTCTTTCCCAGACCCCCACAATGGGGCCCTGGAGCCTACAGAGGGAAAATCTTGATATGCTTCCATAGATGTAAAGTTCCTATTTTGGTCTTGCAGCCATGCTGGTTTCTGAGGCTGGAGAGGTGATGCCTGTGTGACAATATTTAACACAAAGCACCTAGACAACAACCACAGAGGAGAAACCCTCTCACCAAGAGTCAGTTGAGAGCCTCTGCTCCATTGGGAGATCTTCGTCTTCATGTTCACTGGCTGTAAACTCTGATGAAGGGTTCTGGTTGTTCATCCACCGCTGGGCTTTAGTCTCATTTCAGAACTAGAGTTTTGCGTGCACATCCATTTTACAGATCTGGCATATTTGTATGCAATTGTTGGTTCCTTGCCTCTTAAGCAGATGCATTCTAGCTTTGACAGAAATCTGTTAATTAGTTAACTCTTTTGACATATGTTTTAGGGACATTGGGGGATCAGGGCAGAAGAGGGAAGAAATACTGTAGTAAATTTGTATTTTGAAAAAGAACCTTTTTCTGATTACAGAGCATAACGGCCTGAGAGCTAATGTTGCAAGGGACTTGTTGTCAAAGATGTTAGTGATTGACCCTGACAGGAGGATCTCTGTAGATGAGGCTCTCATGCATCCATACATTAATGTGTGGTTTGATGAGAGGGAAGTTAACGGGGTAAGTTTGTGTTAATGAGAGGGAAGTTAACGGGGTAAGTTCGTGTTAATGAGAGGGAAGTTAAAGGGGTAAGTTTATGTTAATGAAAGGAAAGTTAACGGGTTAAGTTTGTGTTACTGAGTGGGAAGTTAAGTAGTAAGTTTGTGTTAATGAAAGGGAAGCTGACAGATTAAGTTTTGTGTTAATGAGAGGGAGGCTGATGAAATAATTTTACAGTGAAGAGAGGGTAAGTAATAGGGTAAGTTCATGTTAATTAGAATGCAATTAATGGAGGTACTTTTGCGCTCCTGAGAGGGGAAAGGTAATGAACCTGTTATTCGCTGCCTGAAAACTGTAAAGCAAATAACAGCATGCCAGCCACTTTTATTTGTAGGAGTGAACACAGAAGAAGTGCTAAATAGATGCAGGCAGTAAAGACAGGCATACCATTGATTCCTTTAGAGTGCAGACTTTACTGTCTTCTTCCTTCTTCGGCATTCTGAGCCCTTGATGTTTATTGCTGCAGATATCACACGCAACACTCATCTCTCTGGTTGGCCTTCTCTTTCCAGTTGGTTACACCAAGTGTTTGCAGGTTTGTCTGGACATTATCTCTCTATCATCTTCTTGGTCTGCCTCATGGTCTATGACCATTCAGCTTCCTTGTGTATACAGTTTCTACCACTCTGTCGTCTGAATTTTCCTCAATAATCCCCGGCCATTTCAGTCTGTTAGCTCTCATCATGCCAGGGATCAATGGTTATTCAAACAGATTATGAATTCCATTGTTGCTTCTCACTCTCCATTCCCCGCTGTTTGAATCTTTGATGGGTCCAAAGATTTGTCGTAAGACTCTTTTTTAAAAATTTGCAATACTTCTTGATTAACTCAAATTCATCTGCATAGATTGTAGAAGGATTCATATATGGTTTTCTCTTTGCTGAATGTTTCAGCCATCACCTGGCCCATATGATCATGCAGTAGACGAAAGGGAGCACACAGTGGAAGAGTGGAAAAGTAAGTGTTGACTAAATGAAACCAACAAAGCTGCTACATAGATATATTGTTGTATGGCTCCTTTCCATTGGGGCTTTGAGGTTAATGACGGAGAAAGTAAGTGTTGACTAAATGAAACCAACAAAGCTGCTACATAGATATATTGTTGTTGAATGGCTCCTTTCCATTGGAACTTTGAGGATAGTGAAGGTATTTACAAATTTCATGATCCTTAATTACTAGGGTTGATTGGTTGATGTTCAACCCCACCACGACATCACACCGAGCGATGAACACCCAGTGACACAAAGTGTCACCATTCGGGTGAGAATCCCCTGGGGGACAGGTTCCAGAAACCCTGTTCAACCAAAAGGTTGGGTTATATTAGGACTCCCAACAACAGCCGGACTGGAGCTTTGAAATAACGAAATATTGCGTCCCATATAGGGACGGTCTGTATTACTAGTGTTTAGTTTCTGATCAACTATAATATGCCAGTCAGCTCCTCTTGGGTTTGTTGAGCATGGAGTCACTAAGATGGTTGTTGCATCGGAGGATAGGGGCACGAGTGGGTCACATCAGTCTGGGCTAAGATGTCGATACGGACAAGTGAAAGGTTTTCACTGTGGACTGTTTATTTGTTGTTGTTTTTTTTTTGGTTTAAAAAAAAACACAACATTCTCATAGTTTTTAGACAGGTGTACAAGTCACGCTGTGAAAGAGATTGAAGCGACAACTTGAAGTGTTCCAATGACACCAGTTTTTGCACTATAGGCAACCTTAATTTTGAAGACAGCATAAAATTATTATTATTATCTTTATAATGGTAGCAATGCATTCCATCTTCTTTCTATAATTGTCGTCTTCCTCCTCCTCCTCCTCTTCACTCATCTGCCTTAGCAATTGTTGTGAAGATCTTATGTATGCTTTTTCAAATGTGCTGTGTAAGCTGGTCTTCCTTTCTGTAAATTTGTTCCCATCGGAATAGGCAAGGGACCCTTTTCCAAACCTTCAGGCATATTGGCATATGGTGCTAGACCTATATTTTATAGACCAATCGGCACTCGGTGGGTCATGTGGCCAACACCACATTGGCAGCCTTTACTTCCTAGGACTTTTACCTAATACCTATTAGAGGATCAACCTGGGAACCAAGGTCATTTTTCTAAGGAGGTGGGGGGGGGGGGGGGGACTCCGGCTCCATTCGAATCTGAACCCACGGCCTTCAGATCCACAGAGGAATATCTGGCCACTACACCCTGGCGTTCTCATAGACATCTCAGCAGATTTCTAATGGTTCATAACATGATTCTTTGATGAAATACAATTGATATGTGAAAGAAGTTTGGAAGGAGCATGTATGACAGACGGATTAATGTTATATTTTAGTACATTAATTATTCTATGACATGTTAAATTAAACCTTATTTCATATATATATATTTTTTTTTTAATTTTCCCACTTTTGTAATAATTACACTTTATCAACCAAATAGTGAATTAAACATTACATTTGTCAGCATAAATGATTAATCACTCTATTACCGCCAAAGAATTGTGTTTTTATTTACAACATTGTGGTATAATATTTCTGCCTCCGCTAGTCCATCATGTTACACTTTTCAGGTCTCATGCATGACTGAGTGACTTTCAGATCTCATGCATGACTGAGTGATTTTCAGATCTCATGCATGGCTGAGTGACTTTCAGATCTCATGCATGGCTGAGTGACTTTCAGATCTCATGCATGACTGAGTGACTTTCAGATCTCATGCATGACTGAGTGACTTTCAGATCTCATGCATACCTGAGTGACTTTCAGATCTCATGCAAGACTGAGTGACTTTCAGATCTCATGCATGACTGAGTGACTTTCAGATCTCGTGCATGACTGAGAGACTTTCAGATCTCATGCATGACTGAGTGACTGTTTTTCCCTGTCCTGGCTACGACTTGAAGATGTGACACCTGTAATTATAATATCTCATTCTTAATGGCAATTCCTGGATATTCTGTTCAAACTCAAACATTATAACTAGATAAGTTTTATCTGGGACATCCATAACAGCAATCTTTTCTCCAGGCTATGGCAGCGTAGTGGGTAATAAACAGCCAGACAGATTGGCTGGATCTGCACCACTGGGTGGTGAATTGATACATGACAAGGCAGATGTAGTCGAAGCCTTTTGGGAACAAGCAACGGAATCAGTAGAGAAAAATGTTTATGGCCTGGAGAGAATGAGGTACCTGGGTGTAACCAGAGGGTCTGGCCGGCTCACTACACTCAGAGGAAAGCAAGACGGTCATATAACCAGATTGTGACCGGTACCATAAGTATTGGAACTCTGCTTTGGCTGCTGAAGATGAGGACGGAGCATGCATGGGAGTGCCCCAAGTGCTGTGATGTCAATTCTTGACTCAACTCAACTCATCCTTAACTGCTATACAGTGCTGGTGTAAACTGCAGTCCTCTGCGGGTAAAAAGTAACACACAAAAATAAAAATAAAGGCAGGTAATATCTCCCTTTCAGGATTGCAGACTGTAGGATTAATACCTCCAGAATGAGAACCAAACAAGGTACAAAACCTGTAATGGGGGCTGCCTGGTCTCGAGGCATGGCATCCGCCTCGAGTACTGGATTTACCAGGTTCAGGCCCCGGTGAAGGCTGGGATTTTTTCACATGGGCGACTAGTAATTTTCCCTGGTCTCTGGGTAGTAACATCACACACCCGTGTGTATTGTTGCGCACATACCAAATCCCTTGGCGCCCTTAAAAAATATGGAGTTGAGAATCTTCCTGAAGTATTTCATGATCCTTGCCGGTGCTTTCTGAGACTCAACTCAGGCTTGAGTTAAAAGTAGAACGGAGCGCTTATGGGTTACTACCCTTGTGCCATGATGTTAATTCGTTGTTAAAACCTAAACCATGCTGTAAATTCCATTCAACTGTATAACAGTCATATTGAGGCAGTTGGCTGATAAACAGTAACTGGGCATGGATTTTTTTTTTTTTGGTAAAGAAAAGATAGCAAAGTCTTGATGGTGAAATAATGGATTTTTTTCTCTTTACCATATATTTTACTGCTTCAACATACCGTACCATATATTTGAAACCATAAATTATCAGTTTAGGAACAAAATATATTTAATAATGTTTTGCATCACATTGCATTGTCATCCACAAAGTGTGTATGTGCTTAATTTGAGCTCTGTAACTTGTAAGGAAATGGTGTAAAAATTGAACTCACAATTATGACTAGATACACAAACATATATAGACATGCAAGTGCTCACCCTTGCACAGACATGTGAACTCAGTTAATGCTTTTAGTGATTTTTTTGTTGTTGTTTTTTTCTTTCAGCTTTGATTTATAATGAAGTGGCTGACTACCAAAAAAGAGATACAGGTCAAGGCATTATGCAAAATGGTAAGAAATCTCATCTGTGGTTGGTTAGTTAGTCTTTTCTCTTGGACCTAGGGCTGCACAGTAGGCAGAGATCATAGCTCTCCATGTCTGGTGGTTCCTTGCCACCTGCTTTAGGTCTTGTAAGTTTGCTAGGCCCATGGTTGAGCCTTCCCTGATGATGGTTCTATGTCTGGTGGTTCCTTGCCACCTGCTTTAGGTCTTGTAAGTTTGCTAGGCCCATGGCTGAGCCTTCCCTGATGATGGTTCTATGTCTGGTGGTTCCTTGCCACCTGCTTTAGGTCTTGTAAGTTTGCTAGGCCCATGGTTGAGCCTTCCCTGATGATGGTTCTATGCAGGGTCTCTCTTGGTCTTCCTGGTTTTCTTTTCCTTTCCTGTGTCCATATGAGGGCTTGATGGGGAAGTCTTGTCTTGTCCATTCTGAGTGCATGGCCGACTTAAACCAGCGGCTCTTTCTGATTAAACTGGATGCATTGTATTACTTGGTCTCTTGTCTTATTTGCATGTTGGATCTTAAATCTGTCCAGTAGCGATCTAGTATTCATCTAAGACATTTGTTCTCAAAACTGCCTAATTTTTTTAGGGTCAAATCTGCTGTTCGGGAAAGTGAATATTCATTATTAATTCGCCATCATTATCGTTAGTCTCCACTTTTGCTGTTTAATGTCTGATGGAGAAGCAGTTTGCATTCTGTTGCTTGATGGGTAGCATTGGCCATTGTTATTTAACGAAGATGTAGATGGTCATCCGTGCTCTCCTTGGGTGGCTTCTTGCTTTCACATCGGATGCTTTTCAGTTTAGCACCAGTGGCTGCATTCTAATGAGATGACAGAACCATCTGATCTTTTGCTTCCTGTGAATATGGTGTAAAGTGTTTCTACAGTCTGTCTGATAGTATAGTTTCTCACTTGGTCTCAGTTGGTCAAGTTTTTTAGTTCTCCTCAGGCATCTCATCTTACAGATACTTAATTTTCCTTGAAAGATAAAAGTCTAAACGTACAGCCTTTGATACAGATATTTGACTCTTCTTCTCCTCCTTTTCCTCCTCCTCCTCCCCCTTATCTCCCTGTGGAACATAGGCCCTCAACCAACTCACACGTAGTTGTCCTATTCTTTGCAGTAGCGTGCAGCTAATGCCATGTCCTCCTTATCTTTTGGTGACCTAGAATAATGAATAATATCAAAGCCAACCCATCACTATGTTCTTTGTCTTATAACTATATATTTTCAATATTCCCCTGTGTGGATTCCGGGACCCTATTATAGGGAAAACAAGAATAGACCCATTGTCTACCCAGAAGCGTGTCGTAAGAGTGGACTGATTGGGAGCTTCCTTCAAAGTCCGAGTGCATCTGCCTGAGAGGCAAGGAACCAACAGCCTGCACACAAATGTGTCAGATCTGTCAAACTGATGCACACTCAACACTCAGGTTTTAAAACAGGACTGCAGTTCAGAAGTGGACGAACAACCAGAACTTTCCACCAGAGTTTACAGCCGGTGAATGCAAAGAAGAAGAAGATATTTGCAATAATTTCATATAACCTTATTGTCACTTTCATCATGGTCGATGGTAGTGTCCGATTCAAGAATGAAGTTATTGAACAGTCTTGCGTAATAAAGTCCTTTTTTGTGTTCTCCCTTACAGAAAGTGGCGGTGCCATGGAGACGGTGACAGGAGATAGTAACACAACAGCAAGAGGCCCATCAGCCACACCAGCTACAAACACACAGAATCACCACTAATAATAACTTGAATGTGTACATAGATTTTACCTTTAGACTAAGCTATACTTGTCTGTCTGCTCACTTGTCCATCCATTTTATGTCACTCACATCTGCTACCTGCATCCAGATTCTACTGGCAGTCATTTTACTGACATACATTTTACTCTTGATCATTTTACACTTGTAATTAGACTTTCCTTCTTATGCACATGTAATTGATTCAAGATGTGAACATTTGTTTCAGTTTCATGGTAGTCAGTCAGATTTGTATGTGTACATGTGATTTAGAAATACAGTTATATTTCTTAATAGATATAAGGAACATTCACTTGAAACCCATGCAAATGGTTTTATTACAGAATCAGGTAATCACAGTTCCAACTTCATAGCAGATGGGGCATTCCGTTGCTGTGCCGAAAAAAACCACGCAGAATGTCAATTGCTGTTCTGTGTTTTAAAAAAAAATGTGGCTGCAGTCTTAGCAAATTCAACAGCATCCACGCATATTAAATGCACAAGGCAGCAGTCAGAAGTGCCAGCCCTAACAGTCCGACATTAGAAGTGCAATAGCATGAAAGAAACATCAACAGTAATGAAACAAAGCATTTATTTTCAATGAATTATGCCCCATAGGTTAGTTTAAAGAAATAAAGTTCTGTATCTGTTCAAGCAAGCACCATCCATTTGCTTAGGGAGGTGATGAATGCTCTTCGCAACAACAACAAAAGATGGGGGGGGGGATGGTTGCTCTCTGAGCCGAGTGTTTACTGCATCCCTCCTTTTGATGTCCATGGCATCCACTGTGAACATGCCTTCTGATATTGCTGTTTCTAAAGAAAAGTCTTTTAAACTGTCTAGTTGACGCACCAAATTCTTTCACTAGTACTGCTGGAGCTTTAGAATTAAGATGTTACAGAAACATTCTCAGAATACCCTGGATCAAGAAAATGTAAAACATTAACATTCTGCACAAGTTAAACATCAAGAATGACTGGCTCATAAACAGCATCCTTCCCCAGAGTTTAAGTATTTTGGCCACATCAAACATTATGGTGGCTTGGAAAAGACGGTAATGAAGGGTGCAGTTTATAGAAAGTGAGGCAGGGGTCGACCTCTGCGAAGGTGGATACAAGACATTGAAGATGCATTGGCTTTGAAAGCGCATGGGACTGGAGAGCTGGCTAGGGAGAAGGATACTTTCAGGCATGCCGTGAGGAGGTCGGCGTTCTGTAAAGGACATGCTGAGTGATGATGATTTTGGCGATGGGTTTTTAAGATTCAGCAATAGAAAAATTGATAGTTGATATCATTGCTGCACAGCGACTGCTTTTGAGGTAGATCCAGACTTGCACACCTACCTCACAGGAGTGATGACGCTTGAATGGAAAAGATTTTTCTAGTCACAATTTCTTTCTGTTTGATATTGATATTTGACTGTATGCACGTTTGGCTCTGTTAACTTAGATGTTATTGAAATCCTTTCACAATGCTGTCCTCGACATTTATCAGGGTTTGATTCCCACGGTGGACAGTGTAAAAAAAAATTCTTTATGGCTTTCAGACAGTGGTGTGAACGTCACGCTGGAAGAAATTGGAAACTCGCCACATGATGTGTTTCCTTAGTTAGCAGTGGTTACTTTACAGCAGCCATATATATATATATATATATATATATATATATATATATATATATATATATATATATATATATATATATATATATATATATATATATATATATATATATATATATATATATATATATATATATATATATATATATATATATATATATATATATATATATATATATATATATATATATATATATATATATATATATATATATATATATATAGAGAGAGAGAGAGAGAGAGGGAAAAAAAGCAGAAATCCAATGTTTTAATAATAATAAGCTTGTTAGTAGATGAGCAGTCCATGAAATATTGGATAACTGAAGTAAATTTACATTTGCTAGAAAAAGATATATATATATATATATATATATATATATATATATATATATATATATATATATATATATATATTATATATATATATATATATATATATATATATATATATATATATATATATATATTGTTGTTGTTGTTTCGGGAATTCTTTAGGATCCTTGGGTTAGCTATAAAGTTTGTGCTTGAGCAAAAATCTTGTTGGTGTACAAGCCAGTCAGCAAAAGAGAGACAAGCCATATGTTGGCATATTAAAATTGATCTTATAGCCACTAAACAGCCTTTTAAAAACAAGCAAAAATAATCGTGTGTGTGTTTTCTTTTTCTTCTGAATCCACCCATAAACTGTTACACCTTGAACTTCTTCTTCTTCTTCTCGTTCACCGGCTGTAAACTCTGGTGGAAAGTTCTGGTTGTTCGTCCACTTCTGGACTGCAGTCCTGTTCCAGAACCTGAGTGTTGCTTGTGCATCCATTTGACAGATCTGACTAATTTGTGTGGAGACTGTTTGTTCCTTGCCTCTCAGGCAGATGCACTCCGACTTCAAAGGAAGCTTCCAATTAGTCGACTCTTACGACAAGCTTTTGGGTAGGCAGTGGGTCTATTCTTGTTTTCCCTATAATAGGTCCCCAGAACCCACACAGGGAACACCTTTAACTATAACACAGACTCTTCACAGTCATTGCTAATTTTATTTCTGCAAGGACACCAAACTGTAATGTTTGTAATGAAAATGTAAATATTTTATTGTCGTTTTTGTTTTTCTGTTATCACTCACATGGATGACATTATTGTGTCAGTTTGTGTATGTAAGTGTGTATATTTTATTTATTAAGTGGAGGGAAATGTCATTTTACAGTCTTTAGTTGTTATTTGTTGTTTTATTCACCTTTTTGTTTTACTTTCGAATGAAGCTTACACCCTTGGCAAAACTATGCTGAGTCTTTTGAAGACTTGCTTATGATTGTTCAACTTTTGCAAAGGAAACTTTTGAGGAATGAGATAGTATGCCCTATGCCAACCCTCCTTATGTAACTTACTCACAAAGCATGTTTAAAAAGGTGTAGATGGACGTGCTCCCTGCAGAGTCACAAGCATCACTTTAGAGGTCCTGGGTAGTTAGCATTCTTAGGATTTTTTCTCCAAGGCATGCAGGAGGGTTGGTTAATGAACAGAGAGATGTATTGGCTGGTTCTGCACCAATAGGTAGGGAGTTTATTCAGGACGTTTTAGTTGTCAAATAATAAAGCATATAGAGCTTAGTTGGGTTTAAGTCAGGATTTAGTGCAGCACATACAGACTGATAGGCGTTTAAGTCTTGATTCAGTGTAATACATATAGACAGTTTAGAATTATGTCATGTAACAATACAGCACATATGGACTGATAGGCGTTTAAGTCTTGATTCAGTGTAATACATATAGACAGTTTAGAATTATGTCATGTAACAATACAGCACATATGGACTGATAGGCGTTTAAGTCTTGATTCAGTGTAATACATATAGACAGTTTAGAATTATGTCATGTAACAATACAGCACATATGGACTGATAGGCGTTTAAGTCTTGATTCAGTGTAATACATATAGACAGTTTAGAATTATGTCATGTAACAATACAGCACATATGGACTGGTTGGAATTTGGTCATACAATACAGCACATATAGACTGGTTGGGATTTGGTCATACAGTACAGCACATTTTGGATGGTTGGGATTTAGTTAGTTAGTTGCACGTCGAACCACTCAGTCCAGATGTGCTTGAATCCCCTCCTCAGTAAATCCCGCAGCATGTAGCGGCTAACGACACCAGTTCTGTGTTGGTTTATTATTATTCTTTGGCTACCTGAGTAGTGTTCTTGTTTGGCGACACCCCGTTTAACATGTTGTTCTTGCAGTCTGACCATGGTTGCAGATTCACAGTTTTCAGTTGGTTCACGCAATCGTCTTAACTCTCTTAGAGAATTCAGTATATCAGCCTGGTCCATGGCTTGTCTGTAGAGCCACCAACCACTGCCTTCTGACCCAGCCCTTCTCTGTTTTCCTGAGCATACTCATTGAGTCACTGAGAAAGCTTGCCCCAGTCAAAGTCTGTGTCTCTAGCCATGTTACTGCTTTAGTCACAGCCATGAGCTCCATAGTCAGACTACTTGTAGTTACGGCAAAAGCTCCAGAATCTTCCAACCAGGGGAACTAGAGACAGAAACATTTGTTGGGAGGATTTCTATTCACAGACTGTTTGGGATTTAGTCATACAATACAGCACATATGGACTGGTTGGGATTTAGTCATACAATACAGCACATATGGACTGGTTGGTATTTGGTCATACAATACAGCACATTTTGGATGGTTGGGATTTGGTCATACAATACAGCACATTTTGGATGGTTGGGATTTGGTCATACAATACAGCACATATGGACTGGCTGGGATTTAGTCATACAATACAGCACATTTTGGATGGTTGGGATTTGGTCATACAATACAGCACATTTTGGATTGTTGGGATTTGGTCATACAATACAGCACATTTTGGATGGTTGGGATTTGGTCATACAATACAGCACATTTTGGATGGTTGGGATTTGGTCATACAATACAGCACATTTTGGATGGTTGGGATTTGGTCATACAATACAGCACATTTTGGATGGTTGGGATTTGGTCATACAATACAGCACATTTTGGATGGTTGGGATTTGGTCATACAATACAGCACATTTTGGATGGTTGGGATTTGGTCATACAATACAGCACATTTTGGATGGTTGGGATTTGGTCATACAATACAGCACATTTTGGATGGTTGGGGCTAAGTCATGATTTAGTGCAGCACATACAGACTTATAGGCGTTTAACACGATTCAATTTAATACATATAGACCATTTGGGATTAGGTCATGTAACAATACATATGGACTGGTTGGGATTTGGTTATACAATACGGCACATTTAGGCTGGTTGAGATTAGTTCCATGATTCAATACAGCAAATACAGATGGGTTGGGATTGAGTCATGATTCAGTATAGCATATACAGAC